CTCTCCTCTTCCTCCTTCCAGCCCCCTACCCCCAGCAGTCACCACACTGTGCCCCATGTCCACGAGTTTTTTCTTTTTTCCTTTTATGCTCAATCCTTCCACACCCCTACCCAACTCCCACCCTCCAACAGCTGTCAGCCTTCTCTGTATCTATGAGTTTGTCACTCTTTTGCTTGTTAGTTCATTTTGTTCATTAGATTCCACAATGAATCAAATCATCTGGTACTCATTTTTCTCTGACTGGTGCCTGCCCCAGAGAGGGAGTGGGTGGGGAGAGCCGGGAGGAAGGGGGGCGCAGGAGCGGGACTTGAGGAGGGAGGAGGAGAACATGGGGAGCGGGGAAGGCGGAGGAAGGGGGCGAGGGAGGGGAGGCAGAAGAAAATGATCGGTGGAAGGGAGGGACGGAGTTCCCAGCGCCTGAGCCCTTTACTGGGGTCAGACTGGCAGGTCCCTCGCCGGCCCAAGGACAAGGCTCGCCCAACCTGACAGCCGGCCCCGCTGGCTTCCAGACCAAGGGCATGTAGAGGTCGGAGCCTCCCCAGAAGCCACACCTGGCCTGGTGGAGAAGGAAGGGACTCAGATAGCGCACCGCTGGGTGCATCCGAGTCCGGTGGGCTAGGTCGGCCGCCACAGGTCACAGAGCATCCCTGCACCAGAGCCAGGTCCCTTTCTGGTCCATGATTCCCTCTCCCAGGACAGCGGGCTGGGCCCAGGTATCCCCAATTTAGCCAAAATGGTGAGCTCCCCTGGCCAGGTCTCCACATTCCTGCACAGAAAATCCTATGTGCTATTGATCTAGGCATAGGACCCAACCTGAGATGGTCGGCCGAACGGATTTCCATATGTTCCTGCCTCTCTTCCTTCACCCCTTCAAGTTTAACAATTAGAGTGGTTTCCCACTTTTCTTTTAGCATTCTCTTTGTGTTCTAAAAACCTGGTCCTAAAACCAGGTTCTAAAAACCTGGCCTCGGATGCCACGGTCTATAAAGAGGACCTCCAGACCCCAGCCTGACACCCAAGCCCACACTTGACCACTGACTCAGTTGTCTTTTCCCAGAAAAACCAAAAGTGTATCAAGGTGTCCGTGTGAAGATCACGGTGAAGGAGCTGCTGCAGCAGAGAAGGGCTCACCAGGCAGCCTCAGGGGGAACCGTAAGCATAAACCCTTCACTTACTCCCAAATCTTCTTAGACCTCATTCAGCCTGCATCTGGGAAGGTATAGAGGCCACCCCAGGCCCCAGGCACCACCCCCAGACCTGCCTTCCTCAGCTGGTCTCATAAATTTGGTGCCAGGCTTCATCCTAGTTCACCACAGGAAGCCACAAAGAGCAGCGGTGGTCTGTCGAGGGGCTCAGGATTTGGGGAGCCCATCCCTCACTGACCCTAATTGAGTAGGAAGGGCTTGCTGATCCTGTGTAGGGAGAGGAGTAGCCAGCAGGTAAGTAGGTTGTTACTCTGGTAGGAAGACAGTGGATATGTCCTCCCAAACGCAAAGAACATCTCTCCCAGAAGAGTAGGAAGCCCTTCAAGGATAGAATCCCTGTGGAACAGACCCCCTGCCTCCTCATTCTTCTGGAACCCAGCCTCTGAGCTCATTTATCTTTAATCAACAGTCACTAAAAGTTTCCAACAGAAAGGGGCCATGTCTCCTTAGGCGAGACAGCTCGGAATGTAGAACCACCTCATTAAGACGTAATTATCACGAGATGAATCTGGACACTCAAGAGTCCGCTGCCACTTAGATACATTCTAAGCAGATAGTCCCACCAGGGGCTCTCAGGGCAGTGGCAAAACCAAAGAAAGTAAGTCGGGTTATCCTCCAAGAAAGGGAACTTCGTCAGTGCGCCTTTGATTGTACAATTGCTTGTGGGTTGGTTTAGATGTGTGTGTAGGACCTGGCAGCTGGGACCCATACTGCCAGGATCAGCATTGCTGCTGTCTCCAGCTTATTGGCATCTGCCCCACAACAGGTGTTGTGCCTGGTACTCTCTGTGTGCCACGCACAACTTCATGAAATGGGCCTTTGTGGGAAGAGGCAAATGATGTAGGGGTGGTGAGCACAGATTCTAGAGCCAGTGGACTGGGTTCAGATCTCAGCGCCTCTGTGGTGTGTATCCCCTGAGCAAGTTATTCCGCCTCTCTTGCCTCAGTTTTCTCATCTTTAAACTGGAGGTACTAAGATTTTGTGAGGTTAGATGGGTTATTGCATATAAAGCACTAGAGGAGAGTTTTTCATGGAGTAAGTGCTCAGTTAATGTTAGCTCTCATTATTATTTGTGAAAAGCAACTACAGTAAAATTATAACCAAGGCTTGAAAGCCAGCTTTCCAGTAATGTTGATCCGCACCCTTTGCTCAGAGTTTAGAGGTTCAGGTGTGAGCTTGCTGTGATATGGCACATGGAGCACACATTTTAAATTTGCTGGCAAAGTTAGTACCTCCATATGCAGAGTTTCAGCTAACACAATAAAACCTCCTTCTGCTTGTAAAGGGCTTTACAATGGTTCTTTTAAAGCATTGTTTGCACCCTCGTCTCATTTAGTTCTTACAATAACCAGGAGAGGTAAGTAGATCAGGGATTTGTATGCCTCTATTACAGCTGAAGTTCAAAGTCTTGCAGTCACTGATGACAGAGCTAAAAATAGAACCAAGGTCTTCTTATTCTTAAACACACACACACACACACACACACACACACAACACTTCCCACCTATTAGTTCCCTAAATTCATCTTTATGCAGACCCTGCTATGCTGAGCAGGAGTCTGGCAACCTCAACCACCAACCCCTTCAATTCAGAAATAATTATAAAATTAATAAAACTGGGATCAAGGGAGCTGGGAAATGCTTCTGGAGGGGAAAAAATCATCAAGACGTTCATAGCAAAATGTAATCTTTCATTACGGAGCTTTGGTACATGGTAGAATTCTGCTTCAGCTACACCTGGAGAAGTCCATGGCGATTTTATTGCTGTTGGCCTCTTGCAGGTTGGTTTGGCCACTGTTCCCCTGTTAGCTAGCCGCAGGAAGGAAAGCAAGGGTTAAGCATTTAGCTTGTGTATCTAACCAGGATCTGTTCCCTGGAGATGTTTGACTTATCTAAGTTTTTCTCAATCCCCCTCCCCCC